ATAACTAATCCGTTTAAAACCGATTAGATTTTACTTGTGTAATTTGTTGTTTAAAATGTCTCAATCACCAAATAATTCAGATACTGATACTCAAGGTTTAATTAATAAAGATATTGTTTTAAGTAAAAAAGAACAATTTTGGTAGTTCAGGGAGAACGAAAATACAAATTTTTGAAGACCGATCATGTTTCCTGATAATGAAGAACACATAACTGAATATATTCAAATCAAGTTGAGCGATAAGCAAAATGCTCTTTTTGACAAAGAACATCGAGAATTTCTTAAGCAGCATAAATTTATTCTCGATAAGGCTAATAATATTATCGAAGAAACTACCAAAAAATATTTACTCAAATTACTTTATGAAGTTAAATTAGCAAATATCAAATTTAAGAACGGTTATTCATTTGATTTATGTAGTTGTAATATTGAAATTGCTTAAATTTAATTTATTTTTTATTAATAAATTATAACTTAATAATCAAAAATAAAAAAAAAACAATAAAATTTTATAAAAAAATTCTATTTTATAAAAAAAAAACAAAAACAAAAATAAATTAATTAAAAAAAAAACTATTTTTTAAAAAATTAATTGACCTTATATAGTATTCAATCCATCCTAAAATATTGTTTAGTCTTTTACAGTATGTTTAGTGTCGTGGTAAATTTTTAGTGATGGATTAATTAAATTATTTTCTATGAGATAGTTTCTGAATTTTTCATATTTTGTAAATATAATATAATCATCAATTTTAATCTTTGTAATAAATTGTTCTTCTTGATTGTTGGTATGGCAGAATCGGAAATTCGAAAAAAGTCTTCTTTATCGACAATTGAACCAGACGACCAATTTTTATCATCTTGAATATAGTTTTCCCAATTACTGTTAAATGTTTTTTGTTTTTTGAATGTAGTTTTTATTTTTTTAATAATGTTTTTAATAAAAGTCAAAGTTATTTTATAAAAATTTTTTGTCAAGTATTTTTTTGTTGTTGTAAAAAATTTTCAGGCGATTAAATAAAAATTTCTTATCAAAATTAAATTTTCTAATTCAAGTAATTTAATTCTCATGACCAATACGTGACCAATAACAAATTATTGATTTTTAGTATCAAAATCTATCAAGTTTTTAACTTGCTTAAAATTATCAATGATAAAATTATAGTGAACCAATCGTTTTTAAGGTTTGTAATTTCTTTCTTCTGAGTTTTCACAAGTTTATGTAATCTTTTTATTTCCAAGTCTTTTAATTTTGGCTTGTAAATTATACAATCAATATTTTTTTTCGTACATGCATCATATTTTTTAGAATCTTGCATAGAAAAAACACATGTTCTGTGAATTTCTCTGCAGAATGTACAACGTATTTTTTTTTGTTCGTGTTTTTTCTTCTTTCATTTTTTTTTTTACACATTTTTTTTAATTATTACATATTTTTCCTCTATTTATATATATTTTATCGTATCACAACATCTATTTTACAAAATAATGCATGTTTAAATTTAATTGTTTTTACAATTTAAATTTAATTTTTTTATTTTATATTTATTTTAACTGCTCTGTCTATAAAATAACACATATATTACATTTTGATATTGATTATTGACTTTTTATTTTTATAATTTTTACACATAATTTTATAAATTTTATCTATTTTTTTTATATATTACATATGTTTAACATTATTTTACACTTTTGTGTTGTTAGATTTTTAAAGCGCTCAAGAGCTTAGCTAAATATTTCTTATTAAAAATATAGTAAATTAATTTTTTTCGATTTTTATTAGTAACAGAAGACATATGTAAATTTTTTATTTACACTTTATACGTAGCCTAACTGTACAAGTGTTACAGTTAGGCTACTCATTAATATAATTTAATAATACTTTTTTTTAAATGTAAAATTAATTCTTAACTCTCTAAAAATTGTCTTCAAATAGCAACTTGGATATTATTTTTTAAAAAAAATATAAAATTAATTTTTAGAAAATTTTATTTAAGATCGAAATATTCACTTTCGATTGGTTGTAACTGGGACCGGGTGGTAAATTATCTATGATTGGTTACACCCTTAGCGCAAAATAGAATATCTTAAATTCTTGCTTCACGTGTCGAATAGATAACTCACCTAAACCGTCAGGTTAATTGACCAGACCAAACCCAACCTAATAGTGACGGGTTGGTCAGTTGACGATCATATCACACATCACTAAATAATTTTAAATCTATATACGGTAAAACTTTTGGTTCTCTACGTAAATATTAAAACATACGTACTTGAAAAATGATTTAGCTTCTTTTACACTGTATATTATTAAGCATAATTGTAACACAAGTAAAATTTTGACTTGGAAAAAATGTAACAATTAAAAAAAAAAATTGATATATAGATGAGATTCGTATCCGATTATCGCCTACCACTTTAAGTCCTCCAACAGGATCTTGAATTTAAGTTTACAGAATCATGCCTACCACTTCATATTCAACTCCTCCAACAGAAGTTGGCAGCCCTATCCCAGCCAACACACCGCACGCTATCTCCGTAGCACTTCCAACTTGGCAAGATAATGTAGACTACGAAGAAGGTCGTGAGAGGGTTGTAAATCGAATGTTAACGGGGTATCCAAGGTTTTTTATTAATAAACAAGTCGAGAAGGTATACCATAAATGGTGTTACAGTCAACTCTCTTTATAACGAACTAACAGTTCTTTATGATAAAAAATGTCCAAAAGCTACTTATAATTTATGATGTTTCTATACCGAACTTTATAATATTAAAAGTTCGTTATAGAGCATGTTCGTTATATATCTAGAGTCGACCGTATACGTTAATTGTATACGATATGTAATCTGAATTGATTGAATTAATTGAATTGATTAAATTTGGTTGACTTTTAGTTAATGTCAATATGTGAAGAAAAATTTGCAAAACCATCCGAATCATGTTTATTGTTTCCTAATCGTAAAGCTACGGAACATTGTCGGACTTACTTGCGTCGATACTTTGAGTCTAATAATCCTGCTTGTTTTCGTTTAGCCGAAATCACCATTGTAACACCAGATCAAAGCAAATCATTGACGCAAGGCAATGTCACATTGCATATAATTTTTTTTCCGAAAGAAGCATTCTCTGTGGCAAAGTCCTTTTGGCAACATACGGGAGATGGTATTAGTTCTCGTTTAGCCGAATTTGCACTTAATATACTGCAAGCAAAGTCCAATGAGCAATATACAAAAAATCTTTACGAGGTTTCTACGAAAAGAGCATCATTTTGTAAACGATATTCTAATATACAGACATCATACAGCCGGAATTTGGATTGTGAACCTAAGGGAACTTTGTTCACAGATATTACGTCGATCAACGATTCTTTTGTTGAGCAGAACTTTTATGTTGAAGAACGTTATGGTCGTAATTTACCTATGTCATTTGCTGAAAAGGCAAAACTTGAACTTAGGCGAAGAATTGCTAGCAGTCTAAAAATTGAAGAGAATAAGGATAGATTAGATAATATTATATCGAGTTCAGTTGATTTATCTGTTCTAACAGAACGATTAGTAAAAGATGTAACGGAAAATGAAGTTTTTCTTTTCCCGAGTGGGATGAGTTCTATCTTTCATGCTCACCGATTTTTACTAACAGCATTTCCTCCGAGGAAAAGTATTTGTTTCGGGTATGTATTAATAACATAATAGTTTAAAAAGTAGGGATGTTATGTGATTTTGTCTTAGACTAATGGACCACAATTAGTCTTAAGACCAGCCTGAGACCAGACCAATCTGTTGACATTTCTACATATTAAAAAATGGATTTACAAAATTTATAGGTTTACATATGTTGATACTTTAAAAATCTTGCAAAAATTTGGGCCAGGATGCCATTTTTATGGCAATGGATCATCATCAGATATAGATGAGATAGAAAGTCTTCTCGAATCAGGAGAAAGAGTTTTAGCACTGTTTTGTGAATTTCCAAGTAATCCACTATGCAAATCACCAGATTTGAAACGCCTTAGAACTCTTGCGGACAAGTATGATTTTCCAATTGTTATAGATGAAACAATTGGGAATTTTGTCAATGTTAAAGTTTTTGAATGGGCAGATATTTTGGTATCAAGCTTAACCAAGATTTTTAGTGGAGATAGTAATGTCATGGGAGGGGGGTAATTATAATATTGATTTTAATTAATTTAATTTTTAGTTAATTTTAAACAAATTAATTTACATGAATTTTAAAAATTAAAAAAGATTGGTTTTGAATCCTCAAAAACGCTATTATGAAGAGCTGAAAAAGGTCATAAATAATGAATATGAAGACCTTTTATGGGGAGAAGATGCAATTGTCCTTGAACGTAATTCGAGAACATTCAGAGAACGTATTATGAAAATCAATGAAAATGCAGAGGAAATATGTGAATTACTTAGAAATAGTCCTAAAGGTTAGTGAGCATTAACCCATATTGTTTTAAATAACATGATTATGAAATTAAAATTTATAATTATTCTTTTATGAATAATAGTCAAAAAAATTTACTATCCAAAATATATTACGCCTGAGATCTACCTTCAATATAAGACAGTTAAAGGTGGATTCGGAGGGTTATTTTCAGTTATTTTCCATTCGGACCTTGCATCACAACAATTTTTTGACTCACTCATAATTGCGAAAGGACCATCTCTTGGTACTAATTTTACTCTAGCATGCCCTTATACGATTTTAGCACATTATAATGAATTAGATTGGGCATCAGGGTACGGTGTTGAACCAGGGATTATTCGAGTAAGCATAGGCTTGGAAGATAAAAATGATTTGTTGAAAAGATTTCAACAAAGTTTAGATGCCATTACTGAATGATTTTTTTTTAAAAAAATCTAACAGTAATGTTTCATGTATAAACTATTAACCATTACTTGATATTCAGTTTTATAATTTTGTAAACTATTCACCAAATGAAACATGGAAAATCTTATTATTTTTATAGTGAAACAAAGGAAAAATTGAAATTATGAAACATTTAATATATATATATAACTTATTTGCATAATTATCAATGTACGAGAATAGTTTTTTCTAATTGTTATTAAAGTTGTTAATTTATGTGGTAGAAATAATAAAATATAACGATAAGTAATTTATGTATGTTTAGAATACAATTCTCGTTATAGCAATTCAATAAATTTTTGGATCACTTTACTACGTATAAAAAGAGGAATCTGGTTGGTAACATGATTTAGAGTGAATATATGTATAAACCTGTCGGTGAAACAAAATCAGTTTTGATTTGAAACTATAACAAATTCTTCTATAAAGAATTAATTAATTACTCGACAACAGTATAGTTGATTCTGATAAAATTTGCTGTTTAAAAATATCATATGATTAGGTCATCTCGAAGGTCATTTGCGTCATAAAAACTTAAAAGCACGTTTATCGGAACCACCAATAAAAATCGAGAATTGGTTTCATAATCTATTTTTTAACTATATACTATATATCTATAAAGATCAGTCTAAACTATTCGCAAGACCGGTTTCACATGATCAAAACTGGCTACCAAGATGCGTTTTAAACTGAACAGACGCTTATAAGTTTAATAATATAGATAATATAGATATTTAATCAAAAACATGTAGAATAAATGAAACTTTAGATAAAACGCTTATAACTACAAAATATGAATAATAATAACTGAAACAGATCAGATAATCATTCCGATTTGGTCGTAAATGAATTAGGCAGCAGCAGTTGTTGTTTTTGCCCCTTGAGATTTGGCTTTTGGTTTCTTTGTAGTTTCTGTGGTGCTTGACTTGATTTTTTCACCTTTCTTCTTAGGAAGAAGTTCAGCATGAATGTTTGGAAGTACACCACCCTCGGAGATATGGACGTTTTTCAACAAGATGTTTAATTCTTCGTCATTACGTATAGCCAATTGCAAGTGTCTTGGAATAATTCTTTGTTTCTTGTTATCACGTGCAGCGTTACCGGCAAGTTCGAGAACCTCGGCCGTCAAATATTCAATAACGGCTGCCAAGTAGACTGGTGCACCCGCACCTACACGATCAGCGTAACGTCCTTTCTTAAGGAGCCGACCCATACGACCAACTGGAAATGTAAGTCCAGCTTTGAAGCTTTTGGAGGTCTTTGAAGTGCTCTTTGCTCCAACTTTAGCGACGCGTTTAGCCTTAGTCTTACCACCAGTGTCTTCCGAACCAACTTTAGCTGGTGTTGTTTCAGAGGTTCGCACACGGGACTTTCCAGTTGTATCGACTTTATCAGTGGTAGACATGTTAATAAGAAAGAGTTTTTTAAAAAATAAGAATTTAAGTGATGTAAATGTCAAAATTAAAAAATGGGGAATAAAAACATACAATATATGTATTTATTGCTTATTCTAAATCTGCTACTTTTTATATTTGTTTTGATTGTTATGATATCTGATTTTACTGTAAATAATAGTCACGCATTGTTTATTTACGCGTATCCTGTATTACCTTAATATGGTAATACCGGTCATACGTAACCGCATTGCATAATGATAAAGTTTAACAAATCGCTACGTGTAAAGTATATCGATATACTTACTATATACGTACTGTGTATATATACAGTATATATAATTTCTCTCTTGATAAAATTTATTTGCTTATCGAAATTTGTTAAAATACAAGTAATCACTTAATTTTACGTATTAATTTTAAGTATAAATATGTATAACTATAATTAAAAATATAACATATATGTATATATAAAATTTTAATAATTATATGTTATACTGTATATCTTGCAAATTATTAAAGTTTGTAATATAAAAATTCAAAATTTGGTTAAAAGATATTAGTAGTAATCTGGTTTAGAACTAAATTGATAAAGGCTTATAAAACATAAAGGCTTAATAGAATCCAAAGGTTCTAAAACCAATGCTAACTTTTACTATCCCTATATTAACCAATCAGACGAATTTCTTCTATATGTAATTTGATTGGTCAAATCGATGTATATCATAAAAATTTTGTACATACGTACGTACGTACAATTAGTAGTGTTAAATTCTTTTCCGTAAATCCTTTGATTATAAAAGATATTTAATAGTGTATTCACATGGACGCGCCATACGAATCGCAATCTTATCTTACACTAAAAGTGACGCGTCAATCGGGCCCGATATCCAAAAACAAAAAAGATTCCCTAACAGAGCATAATGTTGGCATCGCGGCTGAGCCAAAACCCTTTAGCGTAATTACTCAACCAACAAAAATTAATATGAAAGAAATTACCGAAAGTGAACCGTCATCAACCACAAGCAGTGCAACAGATAATATATATTTGGGCGCAACATTTGATAGCTACTTCACTATAACAAATGAATCATCCCACTATGTTCGGGATGTAGGTTTAAAAGTAGAATTACTAACTTCCTCACAACGCTTATTATTAGCCGATAATACTGTAAATGGCCCAATTCAACAAATGGAACCTGGTAAAGTTAAGGAATTCGTTATAAAACACGAAATCAAAGAATTAGGTGTCCATAATATAGTTTGTTCGTATCAATATACTACAAATGAGGGTGAAAAAAAGTTTATTAAAAAGTATTATAGATTTCATGTATTAAACCCTTTTGCCGTGAAAACTAAAGTTAACAATATGGGCAATGGAACTGTGTTTTTGGAAGTACAAATACAAAATGTTGCTGAAAGGTTTATGTATTTGGAAAAAATGAAATTTGAATCCGGCGAAGTATTTGATTATCAAGATCTGAATTACGTTGTTGAAAATGGTAATGTTGATAATATTAAAGAAAAGGACATTAGTGTGTTGAGAAATGATAATGAAGGAATTAATTTAGTAGACGACGAAAATTCTAGCAAAGCAACTAGTGAATCTAAAGATAATTTGGTTGAAATGCAAGAAATAAAAGCATCAGAGTCGACACAACGAGAACGACGATATAGCGAAAAATCAATAATATCATCAAATCAATCAGAGCTTGCAGTTGTACCGCTGGAACAGGAAAGCATATTTGGGAATAACAGTTATCTCAATCCTCATGATATTCGTCAATATCTGTACATGCTAACACCAAAATTTGGCATAGAAGATCGGATAGCACGTACATCAAATGCGCTGGGAAAACTTGATATTGTATGGAGATCAAATTTGGGAGAAACTGGCCGTTTACAAACATCACAATTATCACGTAAATCTCCCGTGCTCGATGATATAGAGTTGTCTGTAACAACAATTCCGCCATTGATACAACTCGAAATACCATTTAAATTAGGATGTCGAATTAGAAATCGAACAACATCAACATTTAAAATATTAATTTCGGCGATAAAGAATAAGATGGGATCAGTATTGCTAAGTGGACCAAGTAGCGAAATGTTGGGTGAATTAGTACCTGATGGAACTATTGATTTTAGTTTAGATTTCTTCCCATTAAGTCCTGGATTACAAAGAGTTGGTGGACTAAAGATTTCTGACATAATTTCTGGATATACAAAAGAGATTGATCATTTTACTGATGTTTTTGTTTTGTTTACTCAGTAATAGTAATGAATTATTTTTTTGAAAAGACTTAATATGGGCTATTTTTAAATCGTGTTTTAATTTATATAATGTCAAATAAATACAGTATCGAATAGCAAAAATATTTAATATTTTTAAAGTGTTAAAAATTCACAATTTGATTTTAAAATTTGTTACGGATGAACTTAATATAAGTTGGCAAATGGGCTTAGGTCGCAGACAATTATGCCAAAACTCTGTTTTAATATTGTGTTTGAATCTCTAGTCTTAATATAAAATTCAAATATAATTTCTTTTTTGTATTTTTTTTTGTAAAAAAGTTTCAAATATAATAATATAAATATAATATATAGTATAAAAATTAATTAATTTAAATTAATTAAATTGTTTAGATTAATAAATAAAATTTAAAATATTTATATATGAGCTTAAACTATTTAGTTTTTATATTATATTTATGTAATTATTATATTTTTCACCTATATATATGTTTAGAAATTTGATATTTAATATATAAAAAAGTTGTTAATACCGTATAATTTATTAATAATTAAAATCAATTATATAAAAATTAACCAATTATAATTAATTATACAATGCTATATATACAAATTTAAAACCCGCCGACCAGCTTTTTTAAAATTATATATATATACAGTATATATATAATTTATAAAATTTTTTATTTTCTGATTTAATCGATTATAAAAACTAATTTTGTATAGTCTAATTAATACGTACTTGTTGCGGTTTTATACTATATAGCAACTAAAACATTATATTTTAATAAAGAAACTTAATTAAAATTTATATATATAGTATATAATACGTATTGTTGATATATTTGATTAAATATTTGACTTAAATATTTAAAAATCAAATAAAATTATAAAACTTCAAATGCTGTACAAATAATAAAACTTTTTTATAATTCAATACAGTGTTAACATTTAATATATTGTATTAAAAATTTTTGAATTTTTGTTAAATTATAAAAAAATTTGCTTGATTTTTATTGACTCACCCCATATTATCTTTCTAATTTATTTAAAAATTTAAACTAATCAAAGCTAAAATAAAAGTAACTATATAATTTTGAAATAAATTTTAGTTATTAAAGCTTTTATTGGTTTTTTTAAAAAAATAAATAAAATTTATCTGTACTACGTGTTTAGCCAAATTCCAATATAAACTACCCAAAATTTTCGTAAAACGAATTACGTAATAAGTGAAGGGATTAATTACGTATAAGTTAGCCAAATAAGTTTTATCGATATATAGCTTTCGAATTTTATATATAATTTTTTAAAAATTAAATTGCATAGTACAAAATAAAATTGAAAGCCCGAGATCTCTTTCTCTTAATAGCACTCGTATATATAACATTGTGTTTTATTTCAAAAAAGTTAAATCTTTATATTTTTAATTGTAATGAAAGAATAAAGCAAAAAAAAAATCAAACCATTTTTTTTTTTAATTTATCTAATTATGATTAAAAAAATTTGAGTGAGGTAAGAAACCGTTATGTAAAAAAAAAAAAATTGTATTATATTATTATGGGAGTTTTTTGTAACAATTATTACTATGGCAAAATGGATAAATATATTATTTCCTGTATAGAAAACAAGAGTCGTTTCTCTCAGGACAAAATGTCTTATTTTTTCTTATTTTTTTTTGTTTTTCCACTTTTGTCATTTGACAAAATATGTACAGGTTGATTGATGTTACTGCTATTCTGTATATATCCATATTCATCAAGTAAATCTCTCGCGCAATTGTTTATGTCTTTAAACCGATCTATGACATGTAAATGTAAATTAGTTAAAACAAGAAATGATATATTAGGTAGAAAAAAAAAACTAACCTGGTCCCAGTTTTATACCACCATACCACCTTGAAACAATTACTATTACATTTTTAACATCAAGAATTTGTAATAAATGAAGCAACCTACTACCAGCTGCAGCTTCTCCATCATCGTCATTATCTAATTATAAAAGCTCTTTAATATCAAAGCTAATATCAGTCGATATAGTAACAAGTACCTTGTAATATCACCCCATTCTCTTGCACAATCCTATATGCCATTATATTATGTGTTGCCTTAGCAACTTTTTTGTTTGATAATAATGTATTCCTAACAATTTGCACCTCTTGCACGTTATGCACTGACGCCAAATGAGCTATAAATACAGATTTCTTGTGTTCTAACGGTTCACCTGACTTTATCATGGGAAAATCCGTGGATTCATCTAAAAATTTTTGTTCTTTATACTCTTTTGTTATTATTTTATCATCGAACATTAGTTCTTCTTTAATTTCTTCTTCTTGTATCTTCTTATCAAGTTGTTGTTCAAGTTTTTGCTGCATAAACTCTCTTAAAAATTCGATCCATTCAAACAGTACTACTTCACCCGGAACAAACAATTCTTTAAATTTTTCGTCAATCTCATTTCTTAATTTATTATCAATTTTTAAAGTTCCACAGTATAGACTCGTTATTTCGTACGTCGGTTTCGAAGAGGGATAATTTTGTGGAAGATAGAATTGCAACGTAAGTGAATTCTCTGAACGATTTGATTGGGAAGTAGAGGCAGATTCATTTTCTAAAGATAATTTAAAAGAATATGATTTGAATTCTTCTAATTCATTGATATTGTTAACTTTAAATGAGTCTGTTCCAAAAATTGATGTCAGTGCAAGGAGTTCTTCTTGTTGCAAGGATTGATTTTCGTCATTCATATTAAAATTTTAAGAGTATCGAGCAAATGTACAATCTGTTTGAACTATATAGCAATAGCGATAGGTGATTCTCAAAATTTCTGGTCGGATTAAGTCAACTATGCCGGCATTATGAATATTGGTCGATTGACCCGAATCCGGGTCAGGATCGTGATCGAGGAATCATCCAATTTTGAAATAGACATAGCGATAGTCTGCTTAATGCCAACCAGAGTTACAACTCGGAATTTTGGGCAAAACATTTAAAAAGCAACATCCGATTTTCGTTCGTATATATAGACTATGGTTTAAATTATATTATATATAGTTTCTGATCGAAAATATGACTTTGCGAAATATTAAAATACATCGCTATTACATACAAGTCAATACATTTTCATGTCACATATTAAAGTGCATATCATTTACTAAAAATTCAATTTAATGATCTTATAAATAAAAAAAAATAGAAGTCTCAAAAAATCTGATATTTATAAAAATAAAAACATCAATTAAATAAATTAAAATTTTCGACTAAATAACGATAATGTTTATTTTTGAGTTATCCAATTAAAAGAATTTGTCCGATCCAGCAATCAAAGTTCCTTTGGTAAAAGAAATATGTAAAATAATTATAAACTCAATACATCAAGACATTTTCAACTTTCAGTTCCTCCTTGTCCCGAAGACA